ACACACACACACACACACACACACACACACACACACACACACACACCCCACCACCACCTGAAGGTTTTGTTTCGTAAAAAAAGGGGGGAAATCTGTCTGAAGGCCCAAATTAATGATTTACTGGTACAATGCAGAGCATTTGTTTTCAAACAGATGTGGTCTAAAATAATTAATTGAAGGTGCAGATTTGGAGTAAATCGTTTGCAGTTACAGTGCATTATTTGTACGTGTTCGTTAATGGCCATAGTGCAGATGTCGCTAATTGAGTTTACATAAAGCCAATATGATTAATTAAAATTTCTGCTTATTTGAAAACATTACTGCAGTCAGTTAAAACGATTTTTGAGGCAAAAGAAAAGAAACAAAATTAAAACAAATAAAAGTTTATCGGGGACGTTTACTGAGACATGATTGGAGTTCAGAGATTCAGTCTCCTAGCAATAAAGGTCAATTTAGCTATGCAAGGCAGCCAAATGCAATCTTTGCTTATTAAAAATAATATATGTCTACTTCTCCTCACAAGGCGTCCCGCTTAATCTAAGATTAATTGAAAAGACGGCAATTACAGCCACATAGATATTTTATAGAAAGCCAGTGAATTCAGGAGATATGTCATCCAATGATGTCATCCGGATTGCTCCTATAAATACAGGAAGTTGCGGGGGGAAACACGTCACAGCTGAACGCTTTCGTATTTGGAGAGGTGAGTGTGTTAACGCGGTGAATGTAAATTTTTATTGTATTTATTTATTTGAGCTTATTTAATGAAGTCCGTCAAATTGAATGTGAAAAATATATTATAAAAATATTGTAAAAAAAATCAACAGTGTTGACTCTTATGTGCATTTCCACGCATTTAAAGTTTGTTTACGTTGCATTGCATTGTGATAAATTTCACCACAAGCTGAAAGTCCAGCACTGGCAGCAGAAATGCATTTTTGTCAGGTGAACAAAATGCATCAAAAACTATATGAATCCTAACAACATGCCTTAAAAAGAGACGATGACCATCAATATGCAACGAAATGAAAGTTTTGGATAGTTTGATGTGAACTTTTTACTCTTCCTTGTTCCTCCCGAGGAGCAACTGTGATGCACTTCATGTACTTCTGCACAATGTTGGTGACTGCTCATAAATTCTGTTGATTTTGTAACTTTAACCGAATGCTGAATGATTTTTGGATGTTTCTCCTTTATTTCTGCATTTACTGATAACCTTTCCCTTCAACCCAACCACACACACACACACACACACGCGCGCAGTCCTGAAAACTCGTTATGGATCGAAATATTCGTGAAGTAATGTGTTAATGTTTTGTGATGTGTTTGTCGCAATAAAATGTAGAGGCTGTGAGAGGCTTCATGTGGTAGCCCAGCTTCTCAGCTTTCTGTGAAAGTGATCGACGGCAGACGGCAATTAAGAAAAAATAATAATGGTTAGAAAAAAAAATGAATATAAGAATGCCCCGAGCGTTTTCATGTATTTATTTTTAGGAAAATGAATCGTGAAATATCCTCGAAGGTGACACAGGGCTATCGTAGCGACCACAGACTCAAGTTTCCAGCAAGCCATGTTAAAAATACACACGCCTACATTGAAAATAATTATAATAATAATATTGAAGAACTCTAAAATTTGATTTTGAAGTTCTGTGTCTAAAAAGATTTTCCCGATAAAATTTAATTTAATTTCAGCTGATCAGATGGTTGATTTGTGTCAAATGCCCACAAGCTGTTGGTTATCATCCAAATCCCACAGCTCCCGGTGTGGAAAAAAGTGAATCCGACAGTCCAATTCACAGAGAAGCAAAAAAGAAAAACAATAAATAACAACAACAACAACAACAACAATGACTTCAGATACATTTCCAGTGTTTTAAAATTATTCCGTACATGCCTTTCTTTCTCTTCCGATGATGTGATTTAATTTAGCGGAGGGTACACTTGCTGATACCGTCTTAGTCGGGACATTTTTACAGTTACTTTTTTCAAAGTGATTTAAAATTTCATGTGAAGTTATTCTGTTTATTTAACTGAAAAAAAGTGGGAAAGGGAAGGTTCCTCCTTTTTATGTCATCGCGATAAAGAACAGTTCGCCCTCCATAGCGCATTATTGTTATTAGTAGTATTATTTGTGCGGTTTAGATGTATAACGAATCCGGGGTTTTATTCTCATTATTCATTTTTTTCTTTACTGTATCACTATCAACGATGAAACAATAAATATTACAATTCCCTGTTTTAGTTAAACTCTCAGCAGTTTCACCTTATTGACGCTGCAGGATTTACGTTTTGAAGAAAGATTGAATTAGCAGAAAACAACTCAGGCTAACTGTACAGCTTTTTACATGAACGACGTGAGAACCTGAAGAACTCTTTGTTCAACTCGTCGGAAGTTAGAGGACCGAAAGTGAAAAGTTTGGCTATATATCATCACCTAACTATATATATATATGTATATATATATA